GGAGCCAGAGTCGCATTCCGGTGGTGAGGTCATCGGGTCCGGTTGACTGCCACCGACAATAAGTCGTTGACTCCGGGAGTGTTTGAGTGTAAGCAGTCATCATCTTGAGGTCCTTTGTGAACTGGCCTTGGGAAGTGGGTGGCTAGTGAGGCCAGACACATCCGTGACCTTGACTGGAGCTTTGACACCATCCGGCGCGCACGCGCTGGTGGACACGAGAGCTAGACACGCGGGACATGCATATGTTAGTATACAAGGTCGCTACAAACTTCTCGACTGACGGCCTAAACCAAGCGAGGGTAACCGGTGTTGTGTATGAACCCACATCTGGTAGTCCTGCTTCCCGCTTCTCTTCACCTCTCCACTTTCAAAAGTCATACGGAGGGCAATATGCAATCTCTTAGGCGGCCAATGCTAACTCAGCTTGTTCTCCAGCAGAAACACCATCCGAGACTCATAGCAGAGGTCGACAATCGTCTGCAATGTACAAACAATCCTATTGAGAAACAGCAGTGCTTACCTCCTCGAGGAGGAAGGGGCTAGAAAAGGTGTCGTACATAAATGTAGTGTATTCTATCCTCTGCATGGACATGGGGATAGGAATTACGACCGGTAATATGGGTGGTATCCCGCTAAATAGCTGGGAGATCAGAGTTAAGCTTAAGGTTTTGGCTAGTAGTAGTGTTGCGGTTAGTCTAAGGGCATTGTTACCCTTTAAATAATTTAACACAAGGTCGTCTATATTACCGGAAGATTCCTATCATCCTGTTTTACCGAAAAATGTGTAAACTCTGAGTAGGACTTAGCTCTTATCACTTTAAGACGCACTCAGATTTCGAATACTAAATACCTAGGATTTCGAGTATTATAATTAGCTTATCATGTTAAGTAAACCATAAATAGCCACCGTAGTCTCCTCTGTCTATTTTGGTAACACTTACCCCGTACAAAAATCTAGTTATATACTCCTGTCTCGAGGTGTTAGACTAATTAACTATCAACATTTTCGCTCCCGTTTTCTTAACTGTCCGCTTTGTTTAAACCTATTGGACACAAAAACGTAAAACCATCTGGCATATGTTTCCTTCAGCATATATTTATTTGGTTGTAGCAAGACGAGGAATGTAAACGTATCGGCTGCGCAAAATTATATAGTATGAATATACAACACATGTGCGATGTCAGTAAATGTAAACCAAAATTCTGAAATGTGCTTTCGTTTCGAAAAAAGAACAAAGTACGGCTGAAACATTATGTTGCAGCATAATCCCGATAGATATTAAGTTTTGGACAGGGTGCTGGCTTTTAAAAGAGTTCCTTATCGACCAGCTGAAAAAAAACTAGATTCTTTTATCATTACTAG